AAGAATTAACAAATGGTCCCTTTTTCTAATAACCCATGTCATTTCACGCACAAGGACCATGCATTAATTTGATTTTTTAGAATTAATTCTCTTTTACATTTATCTCTTATGATAAAAAGAAAACTCATATTTCTCTATTTTTTAATTTATTTTATAAAAATATAAATATGAAAGAAATTGTAAGGATTCAAGTATATAAATATTGATGAATTTTTCAATAGATAAAACAAAAAAAAAGCATTTCATTTCATTTATTGTTACGAAGCTGCAGGGGAGATATATATTTTTTACAACTTCATTTCATTTTGTTTCTTATTCTCTAGTAAAATAGCATCCATTCAACAACAAAAATGAAAAGGGTAACAGCAAAAGTTCTGAATTCGTCACCAGCCTTTCAAGTTTCCGCTTCGTTTCACACAAACAAAAAGTTCTTTAACAGGAAGTAACAATCACACCTATTCATCAGGCCTTTTCACTTAAACATATCCGGCTCTTAAAATATAAACAAATCAATTAATTAAGAAACGTCTATCATTAATTAAGTAAATAAAAATAGTAATCAAGATAACATTATTATATTAAAATTATAATGGCATTTTTAAAAAAAATTTAACATGTATATAAAGGTAATGAAATAAAAAAGTTAATAAATAATAAGATTTCATTTAAATTTATAATATTTAATATTATTGTCCGATTTTCAATATAATAAAACATGTGACTTTCGTGGAAAATTGTTATTTATAAATTCTTATCATGTATCCTAGATATCCCTTAAAAATATTTTTTTTAAAAAGTTACTAATTTTATACTACTAATATCAACTCTAAGACTCGGTACAAAAATTAATAAATTCATTAAGCTGAGATAAGAAGAGAAACAAACCTTTGCATTTGAGGTTGTGCACTACATTCCTAGGCACAGTGCAACCCTGGCAAACATGAAACAGCACTGAGATATTGGCACGGCTCAATCAAACCCAAGATACCACACTCAATGTTTTTGTTTTGGTATGATTTCAATGTCTCTAGGATACAAGGGTGTGGCATGGGATGTATCTGAGTGAACCAGGCCAATATCACAATAACTAGTTCATAGTATACATGTGTATGTTTGGGCATCAGGCACAGCTCTGTGCATTCCTTGTTCTGTTTGCCTGAGGCTGCTATTTGCAGAGAAGAGAAGGAGAGAGGGGTGTGTGTGTGTGTTCCTTTGAAGGTTGGAATTTAAGATTTCGCAAGAGGGTCTCTGAGTACAGCATTTAAAACCCCGACTACCAAAGCACAAAGCTGGGACATGGCATTTAAATCCATACTTCTCTCCCTCCATCCTACTTTTTGTTTTTCTCTTCATTTTACCAACAATTTCATCCCATTTTGGTCCAAATTAATTATATGTTACTACCAATCTTGTATTAGTGTTGAGTCTCGGCTAGCTTAACTTTTGTTAAGTTAAGTTGTCAGTTTTTTTTTTAAATGAAAAAAAAAATGTTAATGAATGATGATAAGATATTAATCAAAAAATTTAAAAATATAAGAATTCATCAAAATAATTTTTTTTGTAGTTTTTATAATTTTTTAATGTAATTTAAAATAAAGTGTTCTATATTAATTTTTCTCCTTCTAATGTTTGCCGCACCCATAAAAAGAACATTAGAAAAGTTCTAATCCTTTATAGCTTGATTTCGATAGTCTTTGAAACGAAGTTTATAGGCTAAAGGAGAAATTTTTTTATTTTACATGGAATTTTCCTTGAGACCTACATAGACTCGTTTTGTGAAATTATTTAAATAAACACTAAATATATCATTGAAAACGCATTAAAAAGCATATGAAGATAATTTTATCATAAAAATTATAATTAATAATATTAAAATAAATATTAATATATAATAATTAAGATCCTTTAACAGTAAGTTTCAAATTCAAACACTTACCCTTTTTAATAAATTTTTATAAAATATAATATTAACGGATCCAACGACTGAATCATGTATTCCAATCAACCGTTGGATTAGTTAGTCTCATTCTATTAAAGTTATTAAATGGTCATGATATCTAATTTTAATAATTAGGGTATGCTAACTCATAATTGTTCAAACGTGAATAGAAGCACATCTTAACTGCGTTTAAATATTTAATATAAAAGTTACATAGAGTAGGCGTGAGTTCATATGCATTCCATATCTAATACAATACAAATCCAATCCTGCTACAGATAGATCTTGTCAACTTAACTGGACCCATTATGAAGGTCGTGTACGAAAAACAATTATAATGGATGGAAGGAAGTCAAAACAAACCTGGTTTGGGATTGGATGATGATGACTGGGGTGCAAAAAGGGTAGAATCGTAATAGTGAAAAGTGATATGGGCAGTTATGGTTAAGGTGAAGAGTGGGCATAGAGGCAACAAAGATGTTGGGCATGATGGCGATACTGGTTGTATTAGAGGAACCAGAAAGAGCACCACATTAAATGAGGGAATCTCCCTCTCGAATAGACAGCCTGCGACATTAATAGCCATGAAACTGTGTCTTAGAACTGTCAAAACCATTTCGCTCCTCACTCTACAACATTTTCTTTTCAATTGAGGGCTTCAGAAAATAAAAGGGAGTATTTTGTAGGGTGGGGTTGACTTGAAGTGGAGGAAAAGCAATTCCATTGCTTAAAGCCTCTTTGATGTTTGCTCAATATGGCAAGGCAGTATCTCTGTTACAATTGGGAACACTTGTTTTATACACGCCATGCTTCAACATACTTTGTGGTTTGGTTGATATGGTATTTATGGGAACAATTAATAGTAGCCCATGATATCCACAGCCTTTTCCCTGGTTGCAGATGCAGACACTCAACGTCTCGATTTTCTGTGAAATTTATGATCAAGACAAGTGGACAATGCTTTCACATTAGGGCGTTTCTACAAGTGTAAATATGGTATACGTGATGCGAATATACTGCATCCAATATTGCTCTGCATAACTCATATATGCAGTGCCCTAATTCCTTCAGTTTTTTCGGTCATCTGAAACTTGTAATCCTTCTGATAGTTATCATAAATCTGTATCTATGCAAAGAGTGTTTAAAGTTCCAAATTGTTGTTTATCTAATGATAGCTTATCTATCAAGCTTATTTTTGGAGAAGAATTATGTAAATAAGTTAATTCCCTCTGATTAAGAAAGCAACGAGTATTGATTTTTTTAATTGAAAATTGGGTTTATGATATATATTGAATTGTAATTTCTATAGAGTGCGTGTATTGTTATTTTTTTAACCTTTTTTTTTTTCATTTTTAACAGTGTCGTAACATTTTTTGATTTATCTCAAATTATTTGTTATTTTAAAAACAATATTGAATTTTTTTATAATACCCTATTGCCATCATATTTAAAGATATATTTGTCAATTTATCTAAAAAAATACTTTGTAAAAGATTGAAAGACATTAAAATAAATCTTTTAGTGATATATAACTTTTTAAAACCAAATTATTTATTCAAATTATATTTTATTGTTCTCTGAAAATATATTTTACATGTCTAAGATTTAATAATTACAATAAATATGGAAATTAAAATTTCATTAATAATTTTTAATCTAATTATTAAAATCAGTACTTAAAATATTTTTCGTCATTGACAGACTGATCCTAAATCATTTATTGGCTCCAAATAAAACTAAAAGTAATAGGACATTGGGTGTTGGCTGTTAATGTATAGATATACTCCTGAACTAGAGCAAACAGACAATCTTCTGTGCATGTATGTATATTGAAAATATTTCAATTATATTCGGAAATTAATTAGTATTCCAATGCACATTAGTCTTTTATTAGCGCTAAAAATTTATACAAATCACAAATTATTGTTGACACTATTTCGTTTTTTAAGGAGATTTATTAATATCTCTTTAGCTAATAACTTCTTTAATAATATTTTTACTATCATTTAAAGTATAATTTCTTTAATTTCATCCTTTAAGACGAAGTCTAAGGCCTAATTTAGATAAATTTCTAAAAGAATGTATAAGTGAACAAAATTTACATAAAAAATATTTTTTTTGAAATTAAAAATAACTAATCTCCTCAAATTTTAAAAAAATTAAATGAGAGAGTTTCCCATAATTTCTCAAAAAAAAAAGACAGCATAAATTGTTTTTAATTTATATGAAAGAAATTTATTATTTTTACTAATTTTTCTCTTATAATTTTTTTTCTAAGAGTTTACTCAAATTAAATATAGTAATGGTAATTTTTAATATAGAATATAACATTTATTATTATTTTTTATTTTCAAAATGATAAAAAAATTTAATAAAATATAACATAAATTCTTATTTAAAAATTATTAAATAAATACTTAAACAATCATCGAAAAGGAGAAAATAGAAAGCAGAGTTGGTGAAATCATGCTACATTATTATTTTAGTCGTTTCATTTACTTCCTTTCGTACTATTTTCTCATTTTATAGATTTTTTAACCTATTTTCAATTTGTTTCGGATGAGTGGTAAGTTTGAAGTGAACGTGAAACCGGGTACTTATTTATGAGCTCTTCAATACTTTTAGCCGAAAATTTAATAGAGACATTAACTTGCTTTAAGTACATAACGTCATCGTCTATTCTTTATTTGTTAAACCTCTCTTGAAACCTCGTTAAAATTTGAGCATGGAAGCGATTAGAACTAAGCTCCTACGTCATTCACGAATAGCCCTTCACAACTGCAAATTACAAAACTAAACTTGACTCAAGCTCAAGTAGTGGGTTAAGATTCTCGAGTTTAGACCCTTTATGATGGAATTTTCAATTGAATCTTATTGCGTCATCAGCACAACATATTGACAGCGAAGAATGCACGAGTCACCGCTACAAGAAACCTCAAGTTGGTGATTATTCCAAAGACCCCTTCAAAAATGTGTCCAAAATTTATCACCCTTTATATTCCAAACTCATCTCCATCACCCAGAAAATTTGCAAAACTCGATAGTGATTTTCGCTATAGCTATGGGTTATGGTTCTTTTGAGAACGCTTTTCCTTTTCCATCGTCGCTTAAGCCGAGCGATGCATCACCGGAGTGGAACAACAAAGCAGACAACGCGTGGCAACTAACCGCGGCAACGTTGGTGGGGCTTCAGAGTGTTCCTGGGCTTGTGATCCTCTACGGCAGCATGGTTAAGAGAAAATGGGCCGTGAACTCTGCTTTCATGGCCCTATATGCCTTTGCTTCGGTCCTCGTTTGTTGGGTTTCGTGGGCCCATCGCATGGCATTCGGCAATAAGCTTGTGCCCTTTGTGGGAAAGCCCAACCTTGCTCTTGATGACGGGTTTCTACTTGAAAAGTCAACGATGGGTTTATTTCCAATGGTTGACTTTGTGTTCTATCAATTTGCTTTTGCCGCAATTACCGTAGTGTTACTTGCTGGGTCTTTGCTTGGGAGAATGAACTTTTATGCGTGGATGGTGTTTGTTCCTATGTGGCTTACGCTGTCCTACACCATTGGTGCCTTCACCATATGGGGCGATGGGTTTCTTGAAACAAAAATAATTGATTATGCCGGTGGATTTGTTATTCATCTATCTTCTGGCGTTGCAGGTTTCACAGCTGCTTATTGGGTAATTCAAAACTGTTAAATTACCGTTCAAATTTTTTAAATCACCACTAGAAACTTATTTAATTGTCTACAAAATCATTTCTAACTTACTATTCATTTCTGCTAATTTTTTCATTAGAAATACTTAACAATCACTGTCAAAACATTATCATCGATCAAATCTCTTTTGTTTATGATTTTTATTGTTAATTAATTTTATTATCAACTCATATCCATATCAAACACCGAATTAATAAAAATTGAAAGTTGAAATAAAGTTAGAAAAAAATTAGAACAAATAAATAATTTAGAAGACTAAATTGAATTGCAAAAACTCAAACACTAACGTAAAACACAAATTAAACCTACATGACTAAATTGAATAAAAAAATTAGAAGAAAGAGTCAAAACTTAGTCATAGAGGACAAAAAGTATAATTTAATCTCTAAAAATAATATATAATAAAGAAATTAAAAATTATTTTTATTATTAAAAAGTAAAATTTAAGTCTATCAATATAGTTCTACTATAATTTTTAATAAAAAAATTTATATTTGTTAATTCTTTAACTCTTAAAAGGAATTATTATTAAAATTGAAAAAACAAAAACACAATGGTTATTTCTGGGGTAGGGGAGGTTTACGGGTATCGCGTTGGTTAAATAGAACAAAATTTGCAACTTTTATTTCAAATCATGTTTAAACTAATTGCATGACGTCTTGATAATGTTAGGAGAAACACTTAAACTGTTACAGGAGTAATACTTGAAGAGTGGGTGTGAAAGATCTAACATATGTGGGAAAATGGCAGGTTGGTCCAAGAATTTCACAAGACAGGCAAAACTTTGCACCAAATAACATAATTCACATGCTTGGAGGTGCAGGGTTTCTGTGGATGGGTTGGACAGGGTTTAACGGTGGAGCACCGTTCCAAGTGGGTGAGATCGCATCCTTAGCCATATTTAATACCCACCTATGCACTTCCACAAGCCTACTTGTTTGGCTTACACTAGACATGATTGTTTATCAGAAGAGCTCAGTCATAGGGGCCGTCCAGGGAATGATCACTGGCCTCGTTTGCATCACACCAGGTGCAGGTAAACCTCACATACCACCCATTTATAATAATTTAAATTTAAAACTCATCAAATTATATGTTTAAATTATAAATAATTCATTTTATTAAATTAATCTTTAAGATTCATTTTAAATAGTTATAACAATATTTTATCAATTTTAAATGTTTAAAATTAACCTTAAAAATTAATGTTAATTTTTTTTAGAAAATTAGATATTACACTTACATGTATAATTCTTTGAAAGAAAATCGAAAGAGGAGTCGCAACTCGTGTTTGTTCCTCCCAGAATCCATCCTTGTATCAAATAAATAATACAATATTTACTTTTGAGAAAAAAAATATTGAATAATAAATGACACTTATCATATGAAGAATGAAATTCACATTATTTCAATTGAGACATGTCTCTTAGATTTGGCAAATTAATCTTGGAATATATATAATTCTTTGACACTTATTAAATGCGTGTTGAATGAGCGATGAAGAGAAAGAGATAAGAAACTAGAAGAAAGTAAGAATAAAAATGATATGATATGATATGATTTGATAGAAAAAAAAAATGAAATGAAAAATAAATATAAAAACTTAGGGTAAAAATCTAATCATTTTTTAACCTTTTATATATTTATGTATGTAAAAAGGGTTGGTGGAGTCATGGGCTGCTGTATTGATGGGAGCTTTATCTGGTTCCATTCCATGGTACACAATGATGGTGTTGCACAGAAGATCTGCGTTCTTTCAAAGGGTTGATGATACATTAGGAGTTTTTCACACTCATGCTGTGGCTGGTCTTCTTGGGGGTCTCCTTTCTGGTGTATTTGCCAAACCTAAACTTTTGAAGAAAATGTATCCAACCATGCATTATGGACCAGGCTTATTATATAGCTTTTTAGAGGGAAAAGTGGATCAAGGCTTCAAGCAAATATGGTACCAATTACTAGGAGCAACTTTTGTTACTATTTGGAATGTCATTGTTACTAGCCTCATTTGTATTCTTATAAGCCGCATTATGGATCTTAGGATGCAAGAAGAGGACCTTGAGATTGGTGACGATGCTGTTCATGGGGAAGAAGCATATGCATTGTGGGGAGATGGAGAGAGAATGCGAGTCCCTCTTCGTCTTCATATAAGTCCAACAATTCCTTCCCTGTGTCGCCGAAAGCTTCCAATTCTTGCAAATACTGAAGAAATAGACCAATAGTTGTGCTTTCCTTGTATTATGATTTATATTAAGTTGATTAAAGGAGAATTTGAATAACCAACTTAATTAATTTAAAACTTTATTTTAAAATTTAACTATAATTTTTTTAAATTAAAATAAAAGAGCTCATTCTAATAAATAATATTGACCGATTTATTAAAATAAACTTTAAAAAATTTATGAGAACTAGTTTTATAAATTTTTTTGTGACCTCTTCCGAACGTCGCCAAAATAATATTGAATACATCATTACAAATACAATTTTATTGTTTTTGTAAAAAATTGCTTATGCTTGCTGTATCCTTATAAAGGGAATAAATATATTAAGCAACTTATAAATCATTTAAACTCCACTCTTTAATGATTTTGAAATAAACATACTCAAAACTTAGATTTTGGATTTGATTATCACAATAGAAACTTAGGTAATTATGTGTGTGCATAAGTGTGTACTTAGTTGAAATATTTGTTCTATCTGATCCGAATTAGTTATCGGGAATCCACATTTTTTTATTTTAATTAAATAATGCAAAAACTAAAAAAAGGGAAGAAGAAAGGAAGATCCGTAAAAAAGGAGCAACAATATGCTCCCACCGCCTGCAAAAATTGCTTCCTACAAAAATCCAATCAAAAGTGAAGTTGTGAGAAATAAGAATAGCTTGAGAAAAAGAGTGAATGAGATAAAAAATATAAACATAAGATACATAAAAAAAAGAGCAACGGAGGGGAGGAAGCAACGGAAAGAAGGAAAAGAAACAAAAGAGAGTAACAAAGAAAGGGTGTGGGGAATAAAAAACAAAAAAACAGAGAAGAAAAGGAGAGCACTAGAGAAAACTGAAAAATAGAACAGAAAAAAATAAAAGAACAAATTTTTAAAAGGAGAAGGGTAAAATCAACAACAACCAACAACAAAAAAGGAGAAAAGTTTAAGTGGAGAAAACAAAACAAAGAAAAATTTAGAAGAAAGAATCAAACTGAGAACATGAAAACAAAATGCACGTCAAACACAAAATACCAAGATCCCATAATGTAAAATACAATGCCTAAGGTACTTAGTGCACATAAAAAATAATAACAAGAGAAATGGTAACAAAATAAAAAAAAAGGTTCAAAATAGTAATCGTCACTTTACTCCAATGAACCTCACTGTGAGTAAAACCATGGCCTTTATTAATCAAGTTTGGCTATGGAGTTCTGATGATTCAACTCACACATCTCCTCCCAAAGCACATCTTTCTTTCATTTCTATATATTGCTCCTACTTTGCTAGACGTTCAACAAAAACCCAATCGGCAACTATCACCTTTTTATTATGTTCTTTCCTTTTGTTCATCCCACAGACTCTTTCTGAGACTTTTAGAATTTTACTTTATGTCATGTCTTTCTTATTTTGTTTTTGTTTATCAACTTTTTAGAATTCGAAGTTGTTTTGGCTAGCTAACAAAAAAAATAAAAATCATAAGACTCAAAGCAAGTTGTATTAAACCAGGCTAGTTAAAAGTCCAAAAATATATTCAATTAATGAATCAATAAAAGGAAAGTGTCATGTTTGATTAAAATATTTTTGTTCAACTATCTTTGGTTATTTCTATCTCATAGTTTAATAAAACAATAATAAATAATAAAAGAATTAAAATAAAATAATAACACAGATGTAAATTTCATTGAAAAGGATTTTGGATCACTAGCAGAGGTTGATCCAAGATTTAGTATCATTTAAACAAAGTTTTAAGTTTAAATTATCATTTTTTTTTGTATAAACGTTGTTTGATAAAAAAAATTTGTATTATCTATCAATTTTATTTTATCAGAGTTATGTCCTTTTTTTAAAAAAAATAATGAGGTAATAAATAAAATTTATACAATAAATAATTGAGATCTATGTGTGCATGCTTACCTTAGATTTCCTACAATATTCTCAACAAGTGAACTCTTATTTTCAAATTAATCCATTAAATATATTTTTGAAATAATTATAATATATCCTTTTAAATGTTTATTATACTAATTACTAATCAATTTATTTATTTATCTATTTATTTTGGACTTATATTTCATCTTTAATTAATCAATTAATTATTTTATCAATATATATATATATATATATATATGTTTATTTTATTTTATTTTTTTATATTTCCCTTATAAATTATTAAAATTATTTCATGCAATAATTAATAATGCTATTGTGTAGTAACTTACTTTTATGCGTTATTAATTGTTAAGACATATGTATACATACGTTATCTTATGTCATGGATGTTGTCAATATATTTAAAAATGAGATCTAACTCCTAAGTTAATAAATTATACATTTATTTTATTTAATTAAAAGTTCTTCTTATCATTTGAGAATTTTTCACTTTTAAACTATTAAATAATCTAAAAATATATTCTAAAAGTGAAACAATATTTATTTCCATCTAATTATATAATCAATAAAGTATATTTTTTTATCAATTAATCAAAACATATTATATTTTATCATCTGAAGTAATTTATTAATTATGAAATTAAAATTAATTTACTTAATTGAAACAGCGATAACGTCTCTACCTTTATACGTTATTAGTTGTCGAAGTTAATGTGTACTTACACTACCATTAGTTTTATGTGATATAAACTTCTAAGTTAAAAATATTTTATTTTTAAATCAATTAAATATTTCACCTTCAAATATTTTTATCAATTAACTTAAAATAAATAAATAATTTTTTTTAATACAATAATTTATAATTCATCTTAAATTAATTGGATAACTATTTCACTGATTATTCTAAATGTCTTGTTTTAAACACTTTTTTCTTCATATAATAAATAATTAAGCAATTAATTTATTGACTTAATTAAGGCAACAATTTGTAACATCATTGTATAGGATCTTTATCTTTGTATGTTCTAAACCGTTGAGACCTTTGTATACCAATATTATCTTAGATTTTATGCAATACAAATTTATTAAAAGAAAATTTTAATTTTCTTTAATTAAATATATATTTGTACCAATCAATTCAACTATATTTTTAGTTTGTTTTCTTTAAATACCCCTCCCTTTATTAGATACAATTAATTTCATACTAAATTTTTTCCAACTTTAATAAATTAAATATCTAAACATTTCATTATTTAAATATACTTCTCTATTTTATTATATAAAATTTTGTGACACATATGTGTAATTCATATTGACTTCAGTTGATAAATAAGTTATGAGAGATTTATGTATAACTTATCGTTGTCTTAAATTTTTAACATTGAATTTTGAATTAAAATATATACTAAAAATAATATTTTTATACAAATTAAACTATTTTATTTTAATTATCACACTCTTTTAAAATGACTTATAATATGGATGTGTGATTTTTTTTATCCTTTCATATAGTTTGTTGTGGAATAACATGTATAGCTGCGTTGTCTTGTATTCTAAAAAATATAAATTATTTTTTAAAAAAGAAGTATAATTAATCTTGAAACAATTTCTTTTAAAATATTTTATTTAAAATCTTATAAATTTATATTAATAAAGTAACTTCAAAATTTTTACGGTAGAATTACGTGACTTGAGTTTCTCATTGCATTTAAAGATATGTAGAAGCATGAACTAAACTCGTCAAGTCAAAATAATTTTTAAAAATAATTTTTCTCATTCCTAAAATATAAATTAATATTTTAATAAACAAATATTTTTTCTTTAAAACTAAAATAGCAGCAATTATTGTTTAAGGATTAAATAAATATTTTCAAAATTAAACTAAATTTATACAATTAATTAAAAGTAAGAGTTATTTATAAATATATTATAAGATATTAATACCTTCTTACATATTCTTTAACTATTTTTAATTTTAAAGATTATGTTTTTTTAAATTTAATAAACTTTATTGGCAACTCTACTTAATTTTTAAAATGTTTTCGTCGTGCCATTTCTACTATCCAATTGTGAAACTTACTCTCGTAACATCGATTCACAGTAATTTGAGTACGTAGTAGAGATAAGAATGGAAGTTATTGACATGTATAATATATACAGCTTATCTAATTACGTAAGGTTAGTTAAAGGGTCATATGACGTCATTGCATCAAATTAAATTTTTTCAAATATTTTTATTCTTTGTTTGTTTCATACGATTAAAATGAAAATATAGTAAAAAAATTAAAATTTGGATTAAAAATAAAGAATATATTGAAATTATTTTTCTACAAGTATTGTTTTCTCTTTTTCTTCATTGATTCTTTAACTAAATAAATACATCGTTATCCATTTTTTTTTTCTTCTCTAATCTCTATATACATTTTTTCTCATATAAATAAATAAATGTTATTTTGAGTTTAGCTACTTTTATGTAATTTTTCTTTTGTCACCTCCAAAACTTTTGTTCAAAATCCACCATTGGTGTATGGAGGAATTTAACTATAGTCAAATATAAGAATAATAGAATACATGCAACTTGATATAATGAAATTAAGTATAAATTTGAGTAAAATAACAATTTCAATAATTTTATTTTTCAAAAATAAAGAAGTAATTTCTACCATGCTTAATTGTATGCTATATTAGTATTTACATTAAAAAGCACAAAAGTTTCAAAAGAAAATAGAGTTGAAGTAGCTCCCGATTATACTTTATGTTGTAAATTGTTCCAGTCGTCGTTATCCACTAATTCAAAGGGCATATAATAAGGATTTTTAAATCGAAAATCTCATGTTTTAAATCATGTCACCGTTGCAATGTCACAATGCCGTAGCTACCAAAGAAAATAAAATAAGCCACTTCAACATTCTAGTGGAAGAAATTAAGTATTAGTTTATACATATTTTCTTAATTATAATCTCCATGCCTTTGGTTATTTCCTTTCATTATCTTCCGAAAGTGTAAAAAACACCCAATGCTCTACTATGAATTAAGATGAATGTCAACCATATTCTTTCTTTAATTGCTCCCTATTCTTTCTCTCACTATGTAATGGCCAACTATCACTTTCGGTCCTCTCCAAAGTCTTCTATATTCCGTGCCTTAGTTATTTTCTTGCGTATAGCCATATTCATAATCATCGTATATTAAAATCAGATCCTTTGAGGTTCTGAGGCGCCATTAGATTACTCTTACAAGATGGAAAAACTATCTCAAATGAAAAACAAGTTCTTGTTCAAGTTTTTGCCAAAACAACCCGTAGCTTCAGTGTCCTTTCAAAACCCAACTCTAAGTCCAAGTAGAAGTCTTACTACCCAAGGGTGTCGATCACCTTGTATGGTCTCAATAATTCCCAAAGAAGCTCGAAGAAAGCAGAGAGTTGCAAGCTTTAGTGCACGAGAGCCCACCTCGCCCAAAGTGTCTTGTATGGGCCAAGTGAAGTGTAAGAAGAGGAGTAAGGCCTACAAAGATAAAAGGGTTCAAACAAAAAGGATTGATTGCATTCCATGTCATGGAAAGAAAGAGAAGATTCTGCTTTGGATGTTCAAGGGGCGTTGTGATGACCCAAAACGTAGTAAGAAGGCTTTTGTCATGGAAGAGAAGGCACCAACCACACAGATATCTCCATCGTTAGGTGCAATGAAGAAATTTGCAAGTGGTAGAGGATCACTGTCTTATTTTGATGCTACACTTACGGAAAGGTGAATGTATATCATTAGTAGAAAAGTGAAGATGTTGATTTAGCATGAGTTATGTACGGTGATATTTATGGTTGCCATATTATGATGTTTATGAAAAAAATATAATAAGCCTATGAAGTTAGTTTCTACGCAAGCAAAATGTATGCTCTCTTTGTTCAGCTTTAATATATGCAATCTGAAGAAAATTTTACGTGGGCTTGATTCGAAGTTTCATTAATTTGAGTTGCTTTTAGTACCTAAATATGTATATGAAATTAGTAATCAATAAATCACCAAAAATTGTCATAAATTAACAAATACATATTAGTTACTTTATTTTTGTTAACATTTTTTTTTTTTTTGCTATAAGTTAACATATTAATATATGCAATCTGTTAACATATTTTTTGTTGATTAAAGATTGATCAATTAATATAAATACCAAGTTTCTAACAGTTAATAGACTAATGATAATATATCAATTATCTATGCAAAAAATTTATCCGTTACCAATTCAATATCTAAATCTATTTCCTTATAGTGCAACATATGTCTAACTACTTATTATCCTCAAGTGAAACAACTCAACAAATTCTTTTTGGAACTACGTGATATTAAGATCAAATTTCAGTCAAATTAATTTAATTGCATTTTAACACGTTAAATCGTCACCACATTGGCAATTAAAATTTCCCTCTAATTTTGCAACTAAAGATTTGTTTGTTTTAAAGTTGAATACAATTAACTTTAATAGAATTGAATTTTAAACCTTAAATATAAATAAGGTGTGACAAAAATTAATCTTAACCATAAATTGTTATTAAAATTGACATTTTTATTAAAAATTATAAGAATTAATTTTCTAATAACAAAACAGACAGGCACTAAAAGTATGTTATATTCAAAATATTGATCTGTTTTGCTCCGTATTACCCACTGTCACGAAGGAAATCATCGATCACCATTTTATTTGCTGTATTTATTTGATCACATGGCAGGGTATTCTAAATCAGTATCGAATAATTAACAATCCTGGCGTGAAACCTTAAACAAGTTACAAGCTTCGAATGTACATAAATCTATCATTCATACTAGTATGTTAGGGCACAATGAAACAACCCTGTTGAAGTCTAATCATTGGTATTTGTCAGGAAGAGACACTTCTACTAACGATTATTTACCAATATTGGTTAACTCCTATTATAGAACAGCTTGTGTAATTCATGATCATCTCTGAGGACAAAGATGTAACAATCAGCTCTCGCTAAATAACATTCGGAAGAATATGGAAAAGTTAGGGATGCTTTCTAACCTTATAAAATGTACATGTTGGGTAAAAAAATCATAAAAATGTGCGAAGTCGAGGTTGTTTTGGTAACTTATTAGCATGATGGCGATGGTGTGTCCCTTTCCCTTGGTTTAGTATACATGCTATCCACCATTTCCTACATAATGGCATCACATTGAATGGGAGCCTCTTTCCCCATTATTCTATCTAAGCTTAGCAAGGTCTGAAAGATCTGTGTTGTAAATGGATGAGTCTCATCATTTACTCCAAATTTTGTATGACCTGATTCCAGCTCCACAGAGCTATACCCAGCCGGCTTCTTGATTTCTTTCTCCTTGACTACCTTCCTCACTCTGGCAGCGTCCTGCCATTGACCTGCATCTTCATACATCTGTGCTAGAATCACGTAACGCCCAGCATTTTTGGGATCCAAAACAAACAACTTCTCTGCAGCCAATTCAGCAAGCACTATATTTTCATGGATTCTACAAGCACCCAACAATGCACCATAAACATTTTTCTCTGGTTGGATAGGCATAGACTGAATAAACTCCATCGCTTTCTCCAAATCTCCAGCTCTCCCCAACAGATCCACAATGCAAGCATAATGCGCCTCAGTTTTTGCCACCCCATAAGTTTCCATGGCATGAAAAAGGTTCCACCCTTGCTCAAGCAAACCCGCATGACTGCAAGCAGATAACAAACACAAAAACACAATGCCGTCAGGGCGCAAACCCACCTCAACCATTTCATGGAACAAACCGAGTGCCTCCTGTGTAACACCATGCATCCCATAGCACCTAATTATCGCATTCCACACTACAATATTTCTATCAGAAATCTTGTCAAATATGGCTCTTGCCATGCTTATATGGCCACAATTCGCGTACAATGATATAAGACCACTACCAACAGCAGGATCAAGTTCCATCCCTGTCTTCACAACATAAGAATGAATCCAATACCCTGCATGAACATCTGCAACCCGAGTAAACGCGGGAAGAACGGTTACAAGAGTGGCATGATCAGGACCACCAATATCTTCATCCCTAAACATATCATAGAAGAGCCTAATAGCTTCATCCATATATCCATTCGTGGTATATCCCGAAATCATGGAATTCCAACTAACAATGTCTCTTTGAGGAATTTCATCAAACACTTTTCTAGACACCTGAACCTCTTCACACTTGGCATAAAAAGCTACAAGGGCATTGCCAACGTACAAATCCAAATCCAATCCACACTTCACAGCATGCCCATGAATCACTCGACCCTTATGAGTGGCTCTCTCGGCGCAACAAGCCTTGAGCACAAGAGGGTAAGTGTAACGGTTCGGGGTGGTGCCACTCCAACGCATATCATCGTAAACCTTCAAGGCTTCAACGAAGGGACCCACATTGGCGTAACCCTTGATGACGACGTTCCAACAGAAAACATCTGGTTCGGACAAATTGTCGAACACCTTGCGCGCGTGGTCGAGGTTGGAACCACCGAGGTGCCCGTACTTGTCAACGAGTTTTGTGGCGATGAATGGGTGTTGTTCGTGGCCACCGACAACAACCTGCGCGTGGGTTTTTTTTATGTTGTCGGTGGTTTTGCAAAGGTGCAAGAGGTCGAGGTAATAGGAGTCCTTGTGAAGTTTGGGTCTCATAATTTGTTGTACTCTTCGAGATACGCCGCCCCGCATTGGAACTCACCGAGATATTTGGAATGTCTTCGATATGGCATTTGGACGTAGGGATCGCAAAACCCCAAGTAAAAATTGATCACATTGTTAACATTTGCAGATTTAATTGAACCAACTTTTTTTATTTGCTTATAAATCAGATCGACATGGGTATTAAAGTATTCATATTTGCTGATACAGTACCTAAGTTCTCCACCATGTTTAATTTAATAATATATTACTATTATTATTACTATTATTATTATGGTAACAAAATATTATATTTTTTATAAGTGTTCTTTACATAACAAAGTATTCATATCTGCTTTTTTTTTTTTACGTGAGATTCTCTTTGTAATTTATTTTTCATATATTTTACATAACTGCCACTGCTTTATCGTCCATGATTTTTTCATGTCTCTTGATCTTCCATTGATAGCAATTGTTGATAACTATTGGTAATAACTCCTAAAAGAGCTTTGACATCTTTTTGAGATATTTTCTTATTTTTTTATCTCTCTTGTTTCTTGAACGTGAAATATTTTAACTTCCTTTTGAAGTACATTATCTTTTCAACCAGTTTTCATAAAACGGTGTCAAAACACTTATTATTTGATCTATTTTGTTATACTGTCTAGCTTGGATCACAAAATCTGTTAAAAAATCTTTTAAATATTATCTTTTTAACTAGAAATATATTCTTATATCCACTCTTATGAAAATTTGTCAAAACTTGATTTTTTAACTAAAATTTTTATATTTGTACTCTTTTGTATGCTAAAACTAGTCGAAATGTTCATTTATTCACAAAAGACAATATTTTGAGCAGAGGTCTTGAATCTCTTTCTAGAAAAAGAGCTTGTTTATTCATCACAAATTTTGTTTAAAGACAATATTTTGTAATTTTAAAAAAATTCTTATTTTCAAACAATAAATTACTTTAAATTAGATTATTTTAAGAATTTTATTTATATATTTTTTTAATAAATCTTCACAAATATCTATAAATACTTGCAGGTAAGAGTAAATCCTTTTAAAATAAGTTTGACAAATATCCGAGTTTGCCCCTCTCCATGACATCATTAATTGGATCGGAAAGCGATGAGTTTTGAACTTTTTTTTTCTTTTTGGTATTTTTACTTGCTCAAAGTTGATTGAATGATCAAGAAATTATGTAATGAGCAAGAATTGAACCTTTCACTGTGTTGTTGTAAATTGCATCACGATAATCAGACGAGCTTGTATTTTTTATATACAATTCATTTTAGCTCTTATTTGATCATTTTTTTAATAATGACTTATATTACAATTTTAACGTAAAAAATCATTTAAATATTCTAAAATAGACAAAATATGGATATAATATTTTAAACATTTTCTGTATTATTTTTAACTCTAACTATGGTTTTATTATTGGTTGCAGGCCCAGATAAAGGAAGATGGTTGCATCAACCCCTTAATAGTCAATATAAAACTTGTTAAAATCAATACATAGATATCTCATCAGTGTTAGAGTTAAGTCATTCTCTAAAAGCAATATGTTATATGACACAAGCATAATGTCAAATAAGTTAGAGTCATAAGCATCGATATTTGAATGTAGAGTAAAATGAACAAAAGTTACATTTAGTTAGACAAAGGAAAGTAAAGAAGTTAGTTTATAAGTGATTAATCAAATTTGGTTCATGGAATATTGATACCTTGAAAGAAAAGTCTTTAAAGGTTGTGGACACCATGTTTTAAGAAAAAATTAGCATTATGTGCCTTCAAGAAACAAAATGGTTTGGAAAAAAAAAATTAAGGACTTTTATATTCTAAATTTCTAAAAATGTGGTACATAAAAAAAATTAGAGGAAAAAATGAAGTATTATTGTGGATAACACACAAGAAGAATGCAGTAAAAACTAAAAATATTGGAGATAAATATTTCTTCAAAGTTATTAGTCATACAAGATACTATTAACACCATTAGTGTTTATATTTTATAAGTTGATTTGAAAGCTCTTTTAAAAGAAAAGTTTCATGAGAATTTAGAGGAGTTTGATTCAAAGCATTTCACAATTTGAAATAATTTTTCTAGGTAGAGATTTAAATGGTTATATTAGTTGTAGAACAAATCAATTTATAAGAGTTTGTAGTGATTTTTTATTTGAGAAGTTAAATAAAAATTGACAAACTATTATGAACTTAATAGCATATGATTTTAAAACTATAAACACTTGTTTTAAAAAGTAGTAGCAGCATTCTATCATTTATTAGAGTAGAGTCTAAAGGTTATAATTGATTATTACTTCTTCTTCTTTTTTGTAAAAAATCTAGATAGAAGAATTTGCAACAATTGCAAATATTTTCAAGAAAGAGCCTTGCTACACAAGATAGGATTTTGATCCTTTATATTCATTTTAAGAAGTATAACTGTATAAGTAGAGAACTCAATAAGTTATAAACCAAACAATTAAGTGGTGACATGTTTAAGGTTAGAAACAATTGAATTTTAAGTAGTTAGTAGAAAATGTTAATTAGAAAGTACAAAATAATGCTAATCTCATTTGAAAATTATGTCTAAGAATGCAAAAGGTTGCTAAGGAAATATTAGGTGAAATTAGAAGCTTTAGGCTAAAAGATAAACAATTTTGGTGGTGGAATGAAAATATGCAAAATAATGTTAGAGAAATGAAAGTGTTTTATAGTTTTACATGAGTGCAATAATGCAAGTTTGCACTTTAAGATTAATGTAAGCTTACATTTTATGTAACTTGATGTCAATTTTACAATTTGTGGTTTATTGCAACATGGATTAGGCCAGTTTAACTTTTTAGTTGCTTTGATTTTGTATTAGAGATGTTGAATAGTTTACTCAACTTTATTAAAACATTTTCATGTTAAATAAATGATGACTATGTAACACCATCTTTTTATAATTGCTTTATTTGTTATTAATTATTATTGGATTTTGTTTTAAATTAGGAAAGTATGAATATTGACACCTACAGAGGGTCTCGCTCAAGCAAGACTGAGTTTTCTGGACCAAGTATTCTAGAGCATTTTTGGTCAGGCAAGTTGAGTCTCGCCTAGGCGAAAAGGAATAATATTGCCCCAACTATCCTCTCGTCTAAGCAAGATGAATCTCGCCCAGTCGAGAAGGCATAGGGTAGATGGAGAGCTCTATGGACTTGTTCTCGCTTAGGCGAGAATACCCCTTATTCAAGTGAAAATATATAAAAAAAAACTTGAAAAATTACTATTTGATGTTTTCGTCCAAGTGAGAGAGGCCTCGTCTAGGTAAGAAAGGACTCATCTATGCGAGAAAGGACCTTACTCAAGCAAGAATTCACGAGTTTTGAGGGGTATTTAAGCAATTTTTATTCTAAAACTTGTATTACAATCCAAGTCATCTTTTCTCTCACTTTCTCTCTAATCTCTCATCTCCATTTTTTCATAGAAATCTCCCTTAAACCCCGAGCCTTCTTTGAATCTGAACTTAGACTTCCGTTCCAATCGAATCCAAGTAAGTTTTTGGAGTTCAATTCTCCAACATCTATTCTATTCTCTTTATTTTCTATTTTCTCAAAAGTGCTATCTAGGAAGAACTTAGTCCCTTGGATGATAATGTTCTCAAATTTTCTTCCAAATCTTCATTTTGAGATAAGGAGAGCTCTATCCCATTATTAGAACATAATGAATATTTTGTGCTCATAAGAGTACTATTGTGTATTTCTTGCTTGTAAATATATGTTTGAATGATATTTAAGTATTGTGAAAATTTATAATGAATATTTGATTGGTTGTATTGTATTTTCGTCATATATGTGGAATATGGACTTAGTCTGGAAGTGTCTTACCTAGACACGATCATTTTAGTTGAATAATGAGAATGAAATGAAAAGAAGTATACTATGAGTAAAAAATGATGAAGGAATTAGTGTGAATAATTAAAAAGATATATTGGGATATAGAGTTTGGAGACGATTTTGGAAATCTGGAAGAAATGTAGAGTAGTGAACAACATTCGTGTGTGTGTACACAATCTATTGAAAGTGAATGTGTCACATGACCTCACACTCATTTTCTGATTAGACTCCTGACTATACCTTTGCTAAGAGATCCACAATTGTATATGTTGTATCCATATGTATAGGCTAACTGACAACTATTTACCTATATGTGTAAGACATCATAAAGTGATGGAGACATCAAATATATGTAATCACAGTGTACAAGAAAGTGCGTACTTGAGAGAGAAGTTTAATGATTTTATGGCTAGACATGTATAAATTAGTGAAAATTACTAATGTAATAACCTGTGTTCAATGATATGATGCATGAATTGATGTTTAATAAAGTTATGAAGTTTTATGTAACAGTGTTTGTTGACATGTATATCATTTTGTTGATGTTATGAAAAAGTGTAATTGATTATATTTTAGTGGTGAGGAGAGAACTCATCCTTGCTAATATTTTCAGGGAACAAGCATAACCGACCCTTAAAGACCTATTAGGTTATCAGAGTGGTTCATCAATAATAGATTAAACTATGTGTTTAGAGATTGACAGCGACTTTATCATTGTAAATTTGTTATGGATAGTGGTTATGGATTCGGAGATGTGTGTGCTTTACAAATGACAATAGGGTATATAGTATTCCTTTTGATTATCCTATAAATGGTAGGATCCACTACACACTTAGCTTGTACATATACACAGGGACAGTTCAGACGCCAAATGCCACGAATTATGTATATACTTTTCATGATCACGACCAGATAGGAAGATCAGGTACTTTTATCTGAGTGTTGGTAATAGGCATTGAGGTCGTTATTGATATGGAGACCTTGGTGATAATGAAGATCTGACATTGGAGGAGCTGGCAGAGATAGAGAGGTGGTTTGGGGATGACGACTAATATCGTGTCCTTAATGTTTTGGTATGAATATTAACTGCTCTTTAGGACTTAGACTATTTTAGATATTGTAAATTTGTAAACTAAGTTCTAATGTATTTTGATTATGATATATAATTATTAACTTTTTGCATATAAATGAGGTATAATTTATTTATATTCCTTTATTATTCTAATGTAAATTTATTTA